CCCCAAATCCCCGCCGAAGGTCTGTTTAAGACGCTGTTAAGGGAAATATTTGAAAACAACCTTTGACTTGTTTGGGAAAATTTACTGATTTTTCAGACTGCACAGGTTCAGCACTTCAGTTCTTGCTATGGTTAGCACAAGGAAACGCTTGAGTCCTGGTACAGCAGGCGCTATGTACCGGAATGGCTATTCGCTACAGACCTCTGTTTAGGAGGGTCCAGTTAGTAAAATATACTTTAGCAGTCCACCAGAGAAAACTGTTCAAGGCCGTGGTGTGAGGACTCACCTGTCATAAGAAGACTCTACGACCTATTTTATCTTCTTTGCCTTTGGCAGAAGTTTTAGGGTAAACCAGGCTGTTGGTAAAGGAAGTGCCTGTCCCCATTAGGAATGTTGAATTCGGGTCAATGCCTCCTTTTTCATAAGAGGTCAATGAAAAGTTTGAGGCAGAAGTGAAAGCAAACTTTAGAAGCACATTCTAAGCTCAGGAAGCTCCATGACACATCCAAAGGCCCCTCTAGAAACTAGTCTGAGTGACATTAAGCCCAGCGCTCACTTAGAAAGGAAAACGAGGCGCCCAGACTCAGTTACGTGACACATGACGTAACGCCAACGCATCTGTGCTTATTTCTTTACTGTTTACTAAATTTCTCTAAAGAAAGTTGAGTCATTAGCAACCGTGAAACACCAGTAGCATCAGTACCAGCTGTGGGATGTAGGACTAAGGTCACAGGCATCCTGGATATTTCTAAGACGGCCAAGATGTGCCGGGTGAGAACTCCAAGCAAGCCTCACATTCTCACAGTGGGATGATGTCCCATGGCGGAGGCTGGCAGGTTAAATGGGAGCCAATCAACCTGAGCGGAATCAATTAAATTCCCTCTTGAGAGGCTTTAAACCAGGGAACCTTGAACCCGAGCGCCCGAAAGTCACGTTGCTTAATTTCAACAACAGTGACACCTTAGAGGACACACAGGCCATCATTTTTTAAAAGACGGTCTCTAATTGACCTGGAGCTCTCCAGATAAGCTAGACTTGCTAAACAGCCAGCTCCAGGGCGTGCCGGTCTCTGCTAGATTAACAATCATGTCCCATATGTCTGGCTGCTTTGATTTGGGTTTCTCTTCAGAGTTTTTGCACTGATGCATGCTTACTTGGGTAACAGTTCAGCCTTATCTGTCTGCATACTTCACATGAACGTAGTGATGTTCTATGCAGCAACACTCTTTAGTATCTTCTTTCGACATCATGTCTGTCGGTAGCTCATTTCATAGCTATTGTTGGTTCTTCCATGGCAACCCAGTATTTCAACACAGGATCACACCGTTGACACGTGTCTCTGGACACACTTGAACATATACTTCTCCAGAACACACATGTGGGGGCGGGTCGTTTAAAAGCTCTTAAGTGGAATCTCAAGGAAATTAATTCCAATGTGTTTCGTGCCGATCAGTTTTGGTATTAACTAGTTCTTCTACGGCTTTGAAGAAATGCCATTGAATTTCTAGATTTATCTTTCTGCGGACTTTAATTCCTGCACATTCGCCAAATATAAGCTACGACATTCGACACATCTTAACGTGTTCTTCCAATCTGTGATTTTCCCAGTAGATTTATTGAAGCTGCTTCCCCGTAAATCAATCTCTCAAGCCTCCCTATTTTTTTTCCCTGAGTATTTTTCTTTTTGATAGAGCCAGTGTTGCCTATACCGAGAGAAGAGAACGTTCTCTCAAAATTTAAGGCAATTCTGCAGCCAAAGTGTTCCATGTTAGCACTGAACATGGCTGTACAGTAAGAGGTTTTGATTCCGCAGGTGAACTAAAGAACGCGAGCACAAATCATAAAGACTAATTTTTAAAAGGATTAAACCCAGCTTCCAAGCTTTCGATGTTTTCATTACTGTGGAGAATATTCTGTAACTCGAGTGTAGAAACGGGACCCAACCGACAATGGTGTGGCACCAACTACATGTGTCTGCCAGTTGTGACTGGCTCCTTGGTAACAAACTTAGCAACTCACGTCCCTTCCTGTACGGGGGACTTTCCATATACTGTTCACATACGTTTCCTTTGATACATTAGTATGATAACGGGATTTATTGAAGACGATATTGTCATTCCTTCCATCTTATAAGACACGGGAAAGTAACTTAAGTTCCCACATCCGCGACTCAAAAGCCATGCCTCAGGCTGGGTGGGGTGCTATCAGATTCAGTTCCCAGCACCCACCCACATGGCGGCTCAGAACGGTCGATAACACTGGGGGAACCAACACCTCCTTCTGCCCTCCCTCAGAAACACACACAGGGTACACATACATGCATGCAGGCAAAGCACTCCTATACATATAAATAAATATTTTTAGAAAGCCATACTGCTCTGAACCTTAGACTGTAGTGCTATGCATTACTACCTTACAAAAAATGTTAGTGTCATTGTTGATGGCTTCCTTATTGTTGTTTTGATAACAACAGGTTTTCAAGGTCCGGGAATGGTATGCGAACCACGGGAGGTTCTGCAGACATTTGTTCTGGTTTTATGAGAAAGCTGTGACGAAGACTGTAACTAGGCAACCCCTCTGATTCTGGGAGAACTAATTAAGAAATGAATTAAGGGATCCAACGGGTACCCAAATTAGTCATTAGGACTCGAAGATCTGGAACATGGGTCTAAATCCAGCGTTGGTGTTTGTTTCCAAAATAAACGTGGTCAGATAAGTACCACGGCTGGCAATTAAAATGGATTTAGATGGCTTAAGCGTCCACAAGGGAAAGACCTCTTCCTAATTGAATTCGGACAACTCTTCAGTTAATCTGCTTCTCATTTACCACCGTCCCGGTCATTCTGCAACTGCTGGCAATAGGATTATGCTGAGAGAGAAATCATTTCAATCAGTGATGTCTGCAGTGCAGGCATAAAAAGATAAAAGCAGAGCATTTGAGCTGTAATTAGAAAATTCCTTAAGTGTGTTCATGTGCCATATGTTTTAGACAGCCACCAACTGGCAAGACTGGTTCCAGAAGGGACGTCTCATGCCCCAGTTCTGGGGCAAACCGTCAGGAGAAACAGCGCTCCAACGTGAGATCGGAGCGATCTCTTCGGGCCGAAGCACTTCCCCGTGCCACCTCTAATGGGATTACTGGCAGACAGCTGGAGGCGTCTCAGCCTCCTGACGGAAATATGATCAGAATTGTTTTCATCTGGTACATCTTTCCACGAGGCCGCTGCCTTCCAGCGGGATAATCAGCGCTTCTGATTATCGGGTGCTCGTTCCAAGGAAACAGGAATTGACTGTGTCCTTGCATGTCTGATGGGGAGAAGGCTGCCAGAATTCACGTTATAGCTTTTCGGTTGCCCAAGCGAAAGGCAACTAAACAGAGAAGGGGGAGAAGAGAAGGGGAGGGAAGGAGGGAGAGGGAAGGGAGGGAGGACCTACGCTCACACACAACGTGCACACGTACAGACACGGAGATAGTTCATTCAAGTTGTACTATGAGAATTCTCTTTCAGTAAATATAAAAGACTTCTAAGGGGACTCAAGCACAAGGAAGTCAAAAATCCCATCCGTGCAAGCAGCATTAGGACCGACTCCCACCCGCGTCAACGGCTCTTTTCAGAGTTAGCGTCTTCTTACTGAAGTTTCGGGTTTATGGAAAAAGAATCAAGTTTAAGCATCAATGGGAAACCCAAGTGGCACCACGGCTCGGTTCATCTGGACTGTATCAATGTGGAATTGGTGGTTTTTATTTTGAATTTCAAGACCAGAAATCTTTTCACGTGGAAATCAGAATGTTGGGGAATTTCAGACAACGTAAGCTGAACCCGAAACAACAACACGCTTTCTGTCCACAATGGCTTCTAACCTAACCATTCATACTTGACCGACAATGATGGAAACAGTTATATTTTTCTTGTGTTTGTTTGTTTGTTGTTTGAGGCAGGATCTCGTGCCTTAGCCCTAGCTGACACCCCCCCCCACACCTCTGCAGCACAGAGATTACGGGCATGCCCCACCACACCTGGCAACAATACAGATTTTCTTGGAGGTCAGTTTCTTTTACAAAAAAGAACTTGAGTGAGCCAGGGCTTCGAAAGCTGACCGCGATGATCCTAGCTCGGATGAGATCAGGCACGTTCAGGGTGGCGTGAATGTAGGCTCTCCATTTACTAGTGGAAACCGGAGGCTCAGAGAGGTAAGTAAATGAGAACTAAGGCCATGCCATGATTGGGCAGCAGAAACTGGTGGCAACGCCAGGCTGTTTTTTTTTTTTTTTAAAAGATTTATTTATTTATTATGTATACAACATTCTGCCCCCATGTATGCCTGCATGCCAGAAGAGGGCCACAGATCTCATTACAGATGGTTGTGAGCCACCATGTGGTTGCTGGGAATTGAACTCAGGACCTCTGGAAGAGCAGCCAGCACTCTTAACCACTGAGCCATCTCTCCAGCCCAACGCCAGGCTGTTTTAACTTGGAGGCCCAGGTCTTTCATGAGGTCTCAGTCCATGCTGACTAAGGACAACTGAGAGTCCAGCTTCCAGACTCATTGGGGACAGTCTTCCGAAGCAGTGACAAGGGCAAGAGTGGCTGCCACTGCAAGGGTGGAACAGCCAGGCAGTCTGGAGTCCAGTGCTCTTAACTCCCTTCTAAATCACAGGGATGTCTATAAATGACCTTGTTTTCGTTTTCTTTTTGCGGTACTCCTAAGTATTTTACATGATGCTATTCTAACAATAACCATGGAAACCATGTAGCTTGGAGGGGGATGTGGGTGGGAAGGGTGATATAGATGGGAAGGGAAATGTGGGCGGAACAGAAGTGGCTCAGATCGCTCGGCCACAGGGCCCCCACTGGACTGCCTCGGTCCTTGTACTTCAATGGCAACTCTGGTCTGAAACCTTAAGAGGGAGCTAAGACTCCTACAGCTGTGACTGGTCTCCAGGATTTAGCGGCGAGTTAAAGGATGTCATGGAGAAAGAAGGGACCATCTCTTCTTACCTGGGAATCCACAGAGATGATCCGGAAAGCAGCTCAGGGTTTGGAGTATTCTAGAAAGAAAATGAATTTGGAAGGTCAGACTGGTTGGTCTCCCACTAGCAACGCCACCACCCCTTAGGAACATCACCCCTTGCTAATACAGAATCTTGAGTCTGGCAGATAATAAGTTGGTCCTCACACATGACTTAATTTAACCTTGGGTAGGCAGACTCATCTCTCCGCGTCTCTGTTTACTCGGCAGCAAACTGGGGATAATAATAGCTTTCTCACCAAGTGTTTGACTGGATGATAAGCAAAGCGTGCCACGCATTCAACACACCTAGCACATGACGGTGATATTTAGCAACAATAGCTGGCGTTTATCATGAATTCAGAGAGTGCCAGGCATTGTTCCAGAGCGCTGTTCCCACATGCGTGCCCCTTCAGTATTCCAAGGGGGGCACCAGTATCATTGAAATTTGATCAATAAATAAAGCACAGAAAGGGAAAATTGCTTGACTAGTGAAATTATACTAGAATGTGACATGCTGGGAGTCTATGGTGACAAACAGGACCTAGATCGTGTTCGCATAGTATTTGCCCAACTAATTAAAAATAAATGTCTGCTGTTGCTTTTGCTGTATAATATTATCTTTTACCAGACCCAACCTATAACATACAACTCTACAGAACTCACCACTAAGCCAGTTACTATTAAGACACAGAGATGAACACCCGAGTTGTAAGTCAACCAGACACTATCTCGCACACCACTCCAAACATCCCTGTGTTTTTTTTTACCATCCCAGGGTCTTAAGTGATCTGTGGAGCACCCTGTGGGGGTTCAAAGCTCAGGTCAGAGATCTCGCAGAGACCTAAGGTCAACTTTCATGAGACCATTGGGGAACAAGAGGAAGTAAGGGTGCTTGAAAAAATAAAACAAGAGGGGGGTTGGTGGAGGTCAAGCAGGGAATAGGAGAGGGACAGCTAAAATGAAGGGAAATTTGGCAACCCTGATACAGTAGAAGATTCTTAAAATATACTCATCCATGAAAGGAATCTAAATAGAATCATGAAGCAATGTGTGAAACAAAGCCCTGAGTAGACATCTCTTAATACCAAACGGAACCTTCAATGCCAGGAATGGGTTACATCTGGTCGAGTGGTTGGCCAGAGAGGCCCATGAAACCCCCAAACAACCCAGGCTAATGCCAAGGTTATCAGTTGCTTTCCACAAGCTAATGGTAAGGACTCACAGCTGAAGATAACACCCACGTAACTCACTGAACACGGAGAAGGCAAGTTGGTGCTTACACAGCGGCTTTGCTCCTACTGACTGGTGATCATGGTACTTGAAGGTACCCTGCCTGCCACCAAAGGAGGAAAAGTAAACACCACCCCAGCTACAACCCCTGCAATCTGCGAAGGTGACCTGCCTGTGAAATACGCTGGTATCATAGTGGCACAATCGTTGTGGGAGTAACCACCCATTATCTGACTAGAATTAAGGTTCACTCCATGAGACGGAACCCACACCTGATGCTGCTCAGGTGGCCAAAGCCTGAGACTAGACAGGTCGTAGACCTAGGGTAAAACCAAATACAGCTGTTCTGCTAAAGGGATGTAGCATTAAAATGACTCCTGATGGCATTCTGGTCCACGCATAGTTCAGTATCTTTCTCAGCCATCATCAGAGAAGCTTCTTCCTTCAGCAGATGGGAACAAACACGGACACCCACGCCTGGACAACGTGCAGAGAACAAGAGACCTCGGAACACCCAATCCTAAATATGATACTGCCACCGAATCCCTCCCTGCGGGTCTCAGGGAACTATGTGGAAGAAGAAGCAGAAAGAGCGTAAAAGCCGGTGGAGGCAGAAGACACTGAGAAAAACGAGACCCTCTACACACCAGAGGACAGACGCACGTGTGAACTCGGAGACTGGCCAGCATGTAGCTGCCACCCGGTTCTAAACCCGATGGGGTCCCAGCGCTGAGAGAGGGAGCAGACACATGACCTCATTCCTAGCCCAGAATCCATCTCCAGTTGACAACCGCTTGCAAAGGAGAAGTGAGTTTTCTCCAACAGAGTTCCAGTGGGCACACAAAGCACACTTCAGGGCAGGCCTCACGCTCAGCAGTAGGTGCCCCACATAGAGCAAACTCAACGGTATCTCCAGGGGCTTTTTTGTCTTATGATCCTTTGGACATTTTTTTTTTAAATTTTACAGATTATTTTGCTTATAGAGTATGGTTTCCAAATTTGTTTTTAATGGGTTTTCTGTGTGTGTGAATGCGGATCTCAGCATTGGTGGGTTTCTTGTGTTTTTCCTTTGACACTTTTTTCTCTGTTTATTTTGTCCTATTCTGATTTGTTCTCTTCTTCTTCATCATCATCTTATTAGTATCGTTATTATTATTATTATTTTAAATCCCTAGTTGTGTTTTAATGAAAAATAGAAAGAAAGGGGGTGGGTTTGGGCAGGTTGGGAAGTGGGAAAAATCTGGGATGAGTCAAAAGAAAAGAATAAGATAAATCAGAATTAAACTGAATTAAAAACAGTATCTTAAAAATTAATGTACTTTGGTGCTTTGCCTGCATATCTGTCTGAGGGTGTCAGGTGTTGGAGTGACAGACAGTGTTGAGGTGCCGTGTGGGTGCTGGGAATTTAACCTGGATCCTCTGGAGGAGCAGTCAGTGCTCTTAACTGCTAAGCCATCTCTTCAGCTCCTGAAAAACAATATCTGTTTAATAAAACATCTTAAAAAAAAGATATATCTATCCATATATATATATATGATGCCATGCCTGGCTCTGACTTCTCTGGGTCCTTCTCCATCTGTACTAACATCTCCGGGGGTCGTACTTAAACGACAAGACTGACCTGGACATCCTGAGTTCCCAGTCGCCAACTCTTCCCTTCAACATTTGCCTCGGGAATCCAGTTTCTGAGAGAGAATATACCGCTCCAGTGCCACAAACAATGTCAGGACAGCGCCGAGGCCATTAACATAAAACACAACCTACATTTCGTAATTGGCTCCGTGAGCGGCATCGATTTTCAGCACGGGAAATATTGGCAACCAGAAGACATGGGTAGAATGCAGCCCTGAGGACAGGCACGCAGGACTATTTGGCTTGCATTCTGAACCCTGGGAGGGGCCCCGAAGAATTCTATAGACTAATCTGAAACCCAGTGTGTTCAGCAGTTGGTGCACAAGGTGAGGAGGCTGATGGGTAGACAAGAAGGACCATTAACAAGTAAAAGACAAATCAGCCAACTAATGGGATGCTCGGTTTGTCGGTCAGGTGAGAACACCATGGTACAGAGCTCCCGGGCTCTCCTGACTTCATACCAGTGACCATTTTGATAGGTGTGTGTGTGTGTGTGTGTGTGTGTGTGTGTGTGTGTGAATAGAAAGAGGAGGAGGGAGAGGGAGAGGGAGAAAGAGAGAGAGAGAGAGATATCTTTGGGAAACATTTACTTTGACGTGAGATGCTACCGACTTTATTTACAGACCAGTTCATCACATTTAGGTCCATTTGCTCTCACAAAAGTCCCTCGGAGGGGAATAATTTAGCGAGTGTAATACCTTCCATTAAATAGGAATTGATCTCAAAATATGGTTTTCAAAGTTTTGACAAAAGCAATTTTCTGATTTTCTTTATGTTCCACCAAAGGCAAACACCGTTGTGTTGACAACCTAATAAATGAGTTGTCAAATAAGATATTAAACATTTATGGATTTAATTTTTAATAAAGGCCTTTAAACATACCCCCCCCCCCAAATATCCATCACTATTTGACATGAGGAGCAGTAATTTTGGTAAATCCAATCCTCTACTCCAGTTGAACTTGGCACAAGATATTTACGGTTCTTCAACACGACAAGCTGGTATTCCTTATGGGATGGTAAACAGCTACATCGCAGACGTTCGGAAGGCACAGAATGCATGAACATGTCATAGAGTGTTTTGCTAGATGATGAGGAATGGACATGCTGCCTTTGTAGTGTCTTTCCCCACGCCTGGGAATCACAGAGACTTTAACTCCTAGCAGAATCTGAAATGGACTTTATCTGATACAACAGCAATATGGTTGATTTCATGTGTCAGCCTCCAAGACAGCCGTGCACTGCAGTGCTCACTGAGACATATAAGTGATGGCTCCCTTACGGCTGGAAAGAAAAAAGGTGAAATTTGGTAGCAGTTATTCCCGGGGTGCAGGATGACAGGTAATTGGGTTTTTCTCTTTATTTTGCTTTCTGGACTTTCTATAATGAGTGCATATTATTGTAACAATTTGGAAGAAAAAACTTAAGTCTCGTATATTATTAAAGACAAACTCATGCATGGAAAAGTGGAAAAGGCTTGAGAATCAAACACACTTGGGTCCGAAGCCCAGCTTGGACCCTTCTGACCTTGATGCCCTGTGAACAGACTTCAGCAGCTTACACTTTGCACAGATCGGTGCAATGAGAATGGTGTGCAGCCCTGGCAGGGTGGAGGATGCATGGAAGATGCTTAGAGCTTTCCTGGTAACAAACAAGGAATCAATAGGTTGGCGTCAATAAACTGATGCTTTGGGACGCTTATAGAACGGCTGTGAGTTAGACCATGTGATTTTCAGAAACCCTATAACAGTTAAAAACCCAGAAGAAGAGAAAGTAGGGCTTCACCTCCTCAGTCCCCTTTACTCCTTCCCGTTACAGAAACTAGATTTCTCTGTGGTCCCCTGAACCAGCTCCAAGACCTCTTACTGGGAGCCGGACGGTGGTGGCGCACGCCTTTAATCCCAGCACTCGGGAGGCAGAGGCAGGAGGACCTCTGTGAGTCTGAGCCCAGCTTGGTCTGCAAGAGCTAGTTCCAGGACAGGATCCAAAGCTACAGAGAAACCCTGTCTCGGAAAAACAAAACAAAACAAAAACAAAAGGTCTCTTACTGGGAGAAGCTTCTGTTTGCACTGGGTGGCAGTGAAGGCAGAGACCTGGAACCAGTCAAAGTGCTGAGAATAACCAACAACTCTAGCACCCCCTCCAAGGCTCGGAGAACATGGTGGAAGAGGAAGCA